TAGGAAAATAAAGTCATCTTCGGCCATTAATTAATTGGGAAAGGCTCACCACCCGATGACATTCGAAAATAATGCATAAGTTGAAATAAAATATTAGCTTTAAACGGGTTCAACATGCTCAACATGCTCAAAGGGTTGTTTGGGATCTGTGTGACTTGCCTTGAGCTTCCTCAAATGCTTCTGAACCTTCCTCAACGTAAACGCTCTACTCCGGAACGTCGGAAACTAAAGTAAATGAATAAAATCAACAAAACAGTAAAAAACAAGCATAAACAGTACATGTGGATATTTTTAACATGTAGATCTCGATTTTACATGAATTTAGCAACTTGAACCACTTGAATCCGAGTTACGATGATTTAGTTATGAATTTCCGAAGTTTAATCAGATTTCATCTAATACAGAAAAACTAAAAAAAGATTTATGATGTCACGATGACATCATCGCAGCCATGGCACTGGACCACAACTCCGCCGGCGATAGAGAGCTCGGTTGGGCTATCCGAAGACACCAACACGAAGAGGACGACGACGCGAACTCACTGGTGCAAAGAACAACGACGAACGACGACAAACGACGGCCGGCGACGAGGTCCCAAGGCGGCACGGTTCGGCTCAACGTCAACGGCGGCGCTCCGGCTGTCTTCGGCGGCTGCAAAGGGACGGCCGGGGTGCTCCTCCTCCTCACGAACCCGACGGTTGCGACGGAAGGCGGCGGCGACGACCACAGCAGCGGCGCGGCGTGGCTGAAGCGACGACAACGACGGCGGCGGCTAGGGCTACGCGGTGGCGGCGCTACGGGCAACGGTAGAGCTCGGGACTTGGGGCAAACGGAAGAGGACGACTAGGGGATGCTTTATATAGGCATGGGTGAGAGAGATCGAACTCAAAACGAAAGGATTTGAGCTGGAAAAATCCGAGGGTTAGGTGGAGAGATAAACTCGAAAACGAATTCGATTCGGTTTATCCGGGCAAAATTGATCTCCGAAACTTTAGGGGAAAGAAAGATGATAAGGAGGAGATAATTTCCCCTCAACTAATTTTAGGAAAACACAAGAGAAAAGGTCGGATTTGGAGGGGAAAAACCGAGCCAATTCGGTCTCAGGTCGGCTGCCAGAGGTTGAAGACGATACTGTAGCGACAGGGACGGAAAGTAGACTTTCCGTCATGGGCTGGCTGAAAACAAAGCAAAGAAAGAAAGAGAAGGGGGAGCTCGGCTGGGCCGACTTGGGCTGCACAGCCGTGAACACAAAGGAGGGAGATGGGCTGGAATCAGCCCACGGCTTAGGGGAAGATTTAAAACTTTTTCCAATTAAAATAATCACTGAAATGATCTTTGAATTGTTAAAAATACTTCCAATGCTCAAATAATTTCAAGAAAAATCCTGAAAATACTTGGACACTCAAAGTACTTAACAAGATTATAATCAGACCATTTAATGATTAATTTAATATGTGGGTAATTACTGAAATGTTCTTTGTATGATTAAAATTAGGAATTGAGCTCCGAAAAATCCGAGAAAATTCCAGAGAGTATAATTAACCATGGAGAATTTAATAAAAATTAAATCCATCTATGCTTTATATTTAGGAAATTTTATGTCCCACATTTAACTTCACTTGTAAATTAATGAACATTTAATATAAATTCTAACAATAATTTATTAAATAATTTATAGATTCTAAAACGAAAATCAGGATGTGACAATCAGCCGACGAGCTTCTTTGATTACGAGATTAGTTTTGATCTGCCGACGAAGCGAGCGAACTAAACTCTGACCTCCCTCGCCTTAGCCTTTGTCGCGTCCCGGAAGCACACTGTGGAGGCGACGGCTGGCCTCATCTAACCCATCTCCTTGCCCCAATCCTTCCCTGGATCTCCTCGTCCTCCTCCTCCCGTGGATATCCCCGTCGCCTCCATCGCTCGTCGTCGTCTCTGTTCTGACCCTGTAGCATCGGTTTTCTCAGCCCTAGCGTGGCCCCGTCCATGCCGCCGGCACCGATGTGCATCACAAGAGGCAACTCCCTGTTGGCTACCCCCTGGCGGCATCGGCTGTGCTGCGTGCCCTTCTACCGCCGTGGAAAGCGACAGCACCCTGTCCGTCTGACCCACCCATCGCTGACGCCTCGTCCCTTGGCAGAGGTCTCTTCTGTTCTCCTGTTTGCTACCACATCGATCCTCATTCCTCAATCTGTTCAGGAACTGCTATTGCAGTTAACTAATGTAACTAAGTATATTGATTTTTCATAGCTTCAGTAAAACGCTGCGAGTTTCTGTTCCAGTGTATGATGAATTCATGGTTCAGTACATTGATGCATGTTAATTTCTGTTTGAGTGGATTGATGCAAGTTAATTCCCTGTGTGGGTTCATGTGGGAGACAGAAAGAAGATCACAGAGAGTGGCTATGAGAGTTTTAGCTTTGTCTGAATTGATTGTGGGAATGTACGAGTCCACATGAAACTAGTCATGTATATATGAATTCGTGAGGCATGTGAATGTTTAGAACCAATTTTGGATGATGTGATCTATAGTCTATAAGTATATTGTTCTGCATCTGTGAAATGTATGGTGTGCTCTTATAGCAATGTACTTGACATTCACATGAATATGATACTGATCGCTGAAAAATTGTTTCTGGATGAGTTGTGACTTGTATGCAACATGTGTATATCAAGCCAGGACCAAAAATAATTTTGGAAGTACAAAGATGCATCTGAGACACATGAGGAGCTGCTTCCTGGTGCTAAATATTTAGTGCTTGTAAACAGACAAAGTAGTTCCCTCTAATTGAATTAATGCCATTCTGGCAAATGATCAAATGAACTCGATAAAATGAGATTTGCCCCGGTCCAACAAAAAGTACATCGAGGTACCGGTATCTCACGGTACCAAATCATTTTCAATTGTTGGATCTAGTTGGACAAGATGAATATTGTTAGATCCAATGATCGGAAACGATTTGGTACTGTGAGGTATCGGTACTTCGAGATACTTTTTGTTGGACCGGAGCAAATCTCCGATAAAATTCATCAGAAGGCACCTTCATTCATATGCAGTCCTCCAAGCATATTGCAAGGATAGATTTTAGGGAAATAGCAGAATACAAGCATATTCCCAACGATGGTGGCGATGGCGACGTCTAGGGGAGGAGGAGGGCAAGGAGATGGGCATGACAAGGCCAGCCGCCGCCGTCGCCGCGTGCGACAGCGATGGCGAGAACTGCTGAGCTCATCGCCACCGAGAACGAACGACGGGACGAGTATGTTCGCTCGTTTCATCAGGAGATCAAAACTAATCCCGTAATTAAATAAGTGGCAAGATGGTCCATTCTCAGCCATCGCTCTCCAACACGACTGAAGAAAACGGAAAACAGATGAGTGCAATGGAAAGCCTATAAATAGGAACGGAGTTACGATTTAGGTGCTATTATAGTATAAACGCTGAACTTTTGGTGCTATAAAACTAAAAAAGGAAACTTTGGATGCTATAGAACCAATTTTGCATTTTTAATTAGGTATAGATTTTATGAATTACTTTTGCCTCTTGATTGCACGAATTGAAACTGCAATGGCATACAGAATGCGCGCACACTACTTTTAGTGGCAAAATTGTAATTTATGATTTTATGGTTATTTCAAGTTAGGGGGTGAAAGTAGGGGCATATAGACAATTTTCCTTTAGGAAAAGAGGGAAAGTAGACTGACTGGTTAGGCTAAGAGAGAGAAGAACAGGGAAGCGGCATAGGTGAATAGTAAAGCCTTGAGAATTTTCAGGCATTAGTTTGGTTTGGATATTTGGAAGATTTGAATATATATTTGAACTCAAAATTGTTTCTTTAGCTTACCAAAACTTGAGATTTTCATCAACAGGCTTTTGGCTAGGACTTGGATAATTTTGAAATAGGTTTGAATTTGAAATAAATTTCCGGAATGTTTAGGAAGGAAAAGAGTCATTTTCAAAAAAGGACTTGAAGAATTCACAATTGTAAATTTTAAGCAAGGATCTATGAGAGGTGTTTTGAATGGAATTTTTGAAGGAGATGTGTTGATGAACATGGAATTTAGGAGTTCCAAAACGAACCATGGACGGGACATCCTGAGATTTGAATTGTACAAGATTTTTTTTTGGGGAAAATTGGGGTCTTAAGGAGGATTCAACTGATCAGATCACTTAGGCCCTTAATTCAAACATAAAGAAAATTTTCAGAACTTAGTTTTTTCTTGAAAATAGTTTTTAACAACCAAAAACCTGTGCATTACACTTGCAACTAGGAAGGGTTTGTTTAGAGTCGAGTTTGAGCCTGTGCAACTGAGAAAAGTAGTACCGTATTGATTTAATATTGATTTATTACTCTACTGTTTTACTACATCTCAAATGTTTATTAAATCTACTTTTGAAAATGATCCCTATTATGTCGTCATTCCATATACCTCATGCATTTGAATATTTATTGAGTGACTTACTGAGTATTCTATATACTCACCTTGCTATATCAACAAAATATCATTAGTTGAAGAAAAGTGTTTTAATAGAAAAAAATAGAGTTATAAGACCGAGCTTATACCACCGTTTAGTTGCCTATGGGAGTGGATACGAAGCTGCCCTAGACCCTTTTTCCGTTGTAGATTTTTTCTTTGTGAGCAGTAAGTGCCTATTTCACAAGTATATTTAGCGTTTCATTACGTTGGATCTATACTCTCTCTGTTAAAAAATATAGCAACTTAATAGTGGATTAATTGGATACAACCATTACTATGAATCTGTGTAAGGGGTTATCTAGATTTACAGTACTACGTTGTATCCGATCCGGTACTAGGTTCTTCTATTTTGGGATAGAGAGAGTATATTAAATTGTCACTTTGTTTACCTTGACTGATTTAAGATAAGGATTGAATGCACATATTATTAGAAAATTGGTGGCAGATTTCTATCCGTGACACTCTCATCTCCTATTTAACTACTAAAAGAATTATGCTAATTCACCGAGTATTGCAAAACGGATGGCATATATGCATATTTATATATACTGTGATGTTATAGAAGTATATAAAATAGGCGGGTGCAGGAGCAGGGTTGTCATCGTATTGTTGGCTATAAAGGCACAGTATGTATGGGTCTAGACAAAGCAACTTCACTTCCTTCATCTTCCTCCTGGAACTCTTCAATCTCCCCAGTGAGATCCTCGAGGGACTTCCCTTTCGACTCTGGTAAGAGAAGGGTGAAGATGAATCCAACAAGATTGCACCCAATAAGGACAAACAGAAAGATCCTGATATGGTATTCTGTGTACAAGAAACCAAACACACCGACAATCGCACCGATCTTCCCAACCGCACCAGATATCCCATGGCATGTGGACCGTAGCCTTGCAGGGAAAATCTCAGCTGGAATTATGAAGGTTGTAGTATTTGGCCCAAAGTTGGCGAAGAAGAAGGTCAGGCCATACATGACTGCAAATCCGTACTTGTTCTTGTGCCTCAGCCACTGATCATAAGGAATTGCAAGACAAAGCATGAAAACAGTCATCATGGTGAATCCAATCAGCTGGATCTTGACACGGCCGATGCGATCAACGAAGGCGACAGTGAAGAAGTACCCGGGAAGTGCACCGCAAAGCGAGATAAATGTGTGAACTGCTGTCATGGTGATCATCCGCTGGAGGGTATGGTGGTATTCGCTATCTAGACGAGGAAGAAGACCGACCTCGGTGAAGATATTCTTCATGAAAATGTTGAGCGAGTAGAAGGTGACGTCGAGGACGAACCAACAGACGGTGGTGCCAAGGAGGTGGAGGCCATGGCGGTGGAGAAACTCGAACGAGAAGAGGCCATACTCGTCCTGCCTTGCAAGCTCATTGATAACTTCATCGTCCGGGGTTATGTTGACATTGAGCACGGCAGACATGTCCTTGGCGGCCTTCTTTGCATTCTTAGAGATGAGGGCAGTGTAACGTGCTGTTTCTGGCATCTTCATGCGCCAGTGGTAAGTGAGAGCAGCAGGAATGGCGCCAAACATGAGGATTATCCGCCAGGCATAGTCAATCTTTGATGCCGATGAATGCTTGAAAGCTGCAGATACTATCATTCCAATGATCCCAGCAGCAAGGTTGCCGAAACCCTACAAGTGAATTCAGAAGCATGTGGTCTCTGACAACAGTTTTATGAAGTAACTTGTCTGAAGAAAACATGAACAAATTAAAAAGGGACTATCTATTTTTTCACATGAATGATTTTTCTAAATATCAATCAATCACTTTTTAACTTTGTATCAATGTCAACAACTTCACTTTTTTCTGTATATTTTTTCTTGTGGTGAAGCAATTAATGTTTGAATCTATCTAAAAGTAAAAAAGAAAAGGATGCTATGTGGTTTCAATTCATGCCATTATAAAACTTTAAACTATGATTTATATAAGCATAGTAATGCATCTTGATTAATACAGCAACTAAAATATAAAGAAAAATAAAGAGTAAATTCAAAAAAATATAGATATATTGATCAATCTTTCGCAAAAACAACAGTATGGATGTGCATCATAAAACTTTAGATTTAGCATCAAATGTTTCACAAAACTACAAATTTAACATTAATTTTAACACAAAAACTACAGCGTTTGTAAGTAAAAAAAAGTGCTATGGATATAAACTCTAAAATATTTAGTTATTTGATAACTTCATCATTAAATTTGTAGTTCTGTAATACAATGCTTTAAATCTATAGTTTTTATGATAAATTATTTGATGCTAGGTCTGTAGTTTTGTGATGCATATTTGAAATCTATAGTTGTGTGATAGTTTTTGCAAAATATCTGTAGTGTTGTGGAATATACTCAAAAATAAAAGTTGCACTTCGTTTCTACTGAAGTTGCAACATTTTATATTTTGCAAGACTTGTGCAAGTTATTTGGCTCCTAGTCTAGTCCTATGGAAATGATGTTATCCTACATAGTTGTAGGATCAAGAATAATCTTACAAGTTTTGTTGTTAATCAGCTAATATGTACTAGACGTTCTGTAATCCTTTGTAATTCTCTTTGCTATATATAATATTTTTACACTGCTGGGCACAGCCTAACAGTTTTGCTTTAATAAAAATTGCTAGGTGACAGATAAATAACGAAACTGGGTTAACAATAATTTAGACATGCTCCTATTCCAGCCGTAAATATTTGACACTTCAATTTTGTCAAACTTTTGACTTTGTCATTAATAATGTCTGAAATATTATGTTTAAAAACTAAAGAATGGATGGTATGGGTACATTTACCTCCAAAAACTATAAGTAATATGCAGAAACCTCATTCATGTTAAGGCTGGATTCAATTACAATAAGAAAAACATACTCTCTTCGTCTCTAAATATTTAACGTTGTTGACTTTTTTAAACATGTATACATATAGCTTTACATATTTCACAAAAATTTTTGAATAAGATGAACGGAAAAATCAACGACGTCAAATATTTAGAGACAGAGGGAGTAGTTTCTACTTACTTGCATAGCAAAGACAGCAGCAATGAAGGCACCACGAGTCCTCTTGTTGGCGTACTCTGACATGATGGTGGCGGAGAGTGGGTAATCCCCACCGATGCTGACGCCAAGCCAGAACCGGAAGAAGCAAAGCACAGCGATAATGTTCATCCCCTCGTGCTTACTGAAGGAGAGTCCGGAGGCGAGAGAGGAGACAACCATGAGGAGGAGGGTGATTCCATAGACACGCTTCCGGCCCATTTTGTCGCCTGAAAGTGTGTATAGACTCAACGCAATGATTAATTAGATTGATAATCCAAGCGGAGTACGTACATATACACAATATAATCCTTCCTTATCTACTCAACCGACCTAGCCAGCCGAAGACGAGCTGTCCAGGGACGGTGCCACAAAGCGCGATGCCGGTGACGGCGGCGTGGATGTTCCGGGGCAGCTCGCCGTGGTAGTAGACGTGGCCGAGGAGGTCGGCGACAAGGGAGATGGAGAAGAGGTCGTAGGCGTCGGTGAAGAAGCCCATACCGGCGATCACGATCGCGATGAAATGGTACAGCTGTGTCCTTGCAATGTCCAGGGCGTGCAGCACCCGCAGCTGCTGGTTGCCGGCCATTGTTGCTTTCCGATCCGACTTGCTTCCTTAATTTCTTCGATCCTGTCCTTGCTATTATAAGTTGCTAAGTTATATAAGCTTCCAAGCATAATTCAACTGTCTCTGTCATATCGAAGGTTTTATGCTTTCCATCTCGATTTCTGAACGGAATTGCTAAAAAACTGTCAAAGGTTTTTTTTTGCAAAAACTTTCAAATGTAAATATAGTATAGTTATAGTATAACTATAATGTAATTACACTAGTATTTTTACGTAAATAATTAGTGTAACTGTATTGTAACTATATTATAATCTGCATATATTATGTTAGGCATTATTTTAATACTTATATACAATTTATATTATAGCTATAGTATAGTTGTAGTGAAAATATATTATAATTATACTATAGTTAGATTTGAATGTTTTCCCTTGAAAAACTTGCCGCAGTTTTTTTAGATAGTTCCCTGAACTTTATGAATTTCATTTCTACAATCTGCTGAACCTGACAGCCACTTGGGAGTCACAAATGGTTTATTGTCTCCATGTGTCCGTACTTGTGCAACAAGACACTAGCATATGGTGAACTGAATGAATATTCTTATTGTTGTATCAGATATAATTGGATCTGTAGAAATCTTGAATTTAGTGTAACAACTGATAGCAACTAGGTAGTGCAAATTAAATGTAGACTGGAAAATACTAGTGGTATACGTGCTTGGTTCTTCAGATCAGAAGTTAGCTGGAACTTGCTGGTTGCAATTTATTCAAAGTCGTCGCACTTGAAGTCCCGGACGGCAAGCAGGAACAAGAAAGTAAAACATGTCTGTTTCAATCATCCTGGCATCTGACGTGCCCGATGAATTGCTGGGTGTAATATTCTCTAATGAAGATACAGATTCCGTAAGAGCGAGTTCAGAACACACTGCTCCGTTTACAGATAGATCTGGTCTTAGGATGTATGGATGTACAAACATTTTAAGATTTCATAATTCATTTGCAAAAATGGTATCAATAATGTTTTCATGAGAATATATCCATATAGTTATACTTTATATAGCTTTTCATAATATATAATTCAAACAAATATGAACTTGTACACAGGAAACTTTATCGACAACTTTGTTGGAATTAATATATAGGCCTTAACCCATTTGAAGATTAATTCTTTAAAAAATCACAAAACCACACCTCATGGGATAACATGTATGAGTAGTTTAGTCCCTCCTTAAAAGGGAGGATGCTCTCCTAGCCACTTGAGGCATGTCAGGCGGAGAGAACAGGGGGAACACACACGTACGCTCGCTCGCCTCGCCTGGCCAGACATAGTGGCGCGCGTGCACGACGTACGCGTCGAATGGTCCGATAAAATTGGTCCCTCATGCAGTTTTGTTTTGCTGCAGAAAATTCAGATTTGTTTTTTTGGAAACGCTCCGAATAATACGGTGCGTGAAACGGCGTGGAGTCCGGACAAGTTACGCGCGACTTATTCGATTCGGTTATTTGGAGTAGAGATCGTGCAGGCGTCCTGATCAAGCATCCTGATATCTCTATATAAGTAGAATCGCTGCCTCCACGCAACATGTGAAATCAATCTAGGGTTTGCCTGTTCCTCTATACTGCGCCATCACTCATAGTCTACTTCATCCCGCTCGGGGGCATGCACCGGCGATTGGGAGAGTAGGTTTCCAGAACCTTCGTCTTCGACGTCCTGCACCAGGAGAAGGTGGCAGTAAGTTTTTTGGGAAGTGCTTTGCGCGACTACTCCCTGTTCGTCCACAACGGGTCGTCTTCCTCTTCTCTCATGTGCTGCGCGCCGTTGTCAACGCACTGTACCATGAGTTATTCCTACTGAGCAACCGGTTTTCCAAAACCCTCGGTACGCATTTAACATGTTTCGCAGATTTGACCTGTTCATGCTTTACTGTCTAGTTTACATGTGTAGATCGTATGATGCGATTATGCTAGTTTACATATGCAATGTCATGATTTATTTAGGGAATAAATTAAATCATTATGTGCTTATATATTCAACAAACTTGAAAAGAATTAATGGGCAGTGACTAGTAGGCCACATCTTTGCTATCCAAAGATAATATACAGATAACCATTTAACAGTCCTAGTATGCTATTTCTATAAATGGCCTCCTTCACCTTCTGTTCTTGTCACTATATTTAAATTACTTTTCTTCGATTACCTACAAAATAGCTTATATATACACAAGCTTAGAGTAACATACTCCACAAATTTGGGAAAATCATTAGCGAAAATATTTTTCATCAACATTATTCATTCTTGTCGAGTCGGAGCCCTTTCGATCCTTTCCCACTTATTTTCCCCTTCTCCCTTCTGATCGACTTCATTGATCCAACTCATTCAATTTTTCCCTATAAAAATCGTGAAAAAACCTAACTCAATACTATTCTTCGTGGGCCAAGGCCAATACGTCGGCCCACTTCCTCCCATTCGCTCCTTGTCCTCTCTCTCTACTTATGCACAAATTATTGGAATACCTGAGTTACTAGGGTAGTATTGTGCCCTGTGCTCGGTTTCAGCTAATGTGGCGAGTTGGCTATAATCAACATGGCTGAGTCAGCATGAGATATATCCACGTGGCCTCCACATGTCAGGGCATTTTTCTATTTCTTTGCTCTCTTTTTCGGGGGTTGCTAGTGGGCGGGTGATTGCTTCCCTCTCCACCTAGCGATCACCCATCCCTCCCCCCTAATACAGTAATACTCATCTTTCATTCTATGACTTATAAACATTCGCTTTAAATACTTTAGGTGGATAAACTTTAGTTGTGTAAACTTTAGGTGTATAAACTTACTAAAAGAGGAAAATATAAAATATTTGAATTCGAATATAAGTTTGAATTGGGTATATAAACTTTTGACTTATAAACATTCGCTTTAAAAACTTTAGGTGGATAAACTTTAGTTGTGTAAACTTTAGGTGTATAAACTTTAGAAAAAGAAAAAAAAGAAAAAAACGATTGCTGGCAGCGATAGTTAGCCTTCTCGCTCTTTTTCCTCTCTATTTTTCTCTATCCCTTTATCTGCCATTTTTTTTCAACAGCCGGCCGAAGAGAGGGCGAGCGACCGGAGGGGCCACGCGACGTCGGCAATGGCTCGGACCAATGGTGCAGTGGCAGCAGCCCATAGAGGCATAGAGCTGCTCGGTTATTCCTTCGGCCATGGAAGATGCGAGGTGGAGGCGGAGGGAAGAGGAGCCGGGAGATCGCGATCGAGCGGCCGTGGAGGCGAAATCATCGAGGGACCAGGGTGCGGAGGAGGTGGAGCGGTGCCGTGCTTGTGCTCGACCAGCTGCTGTTGCTCCTCGTTGGCTAGCGGCTAGCTAAGGAAGAAAGGGCATGTGGGCACGATTGTTTTTTACATTTTCCTCGTAACTGACAGGGTCCTCCTATTTTTTTTATAAAAAAGATTGTAATGGCACGTAGATAACGCATCATATTAAAAACTAATGTATGCGCTACGTAGGACGAAACTTTTCTAAAAACCACCAATGGACTCAATTTGCACTTAGGGCCTGATTGGTTGCTACACAGCTGAGCAAATAAGCCTGGTCGAGCCTGTAACTCGCCTGGCATATGTTTGGTTGCTACCCTGAGGATTCTAGCCTGATGAATCTTGCCCGAGTGTACTCGCCAGAGTCAGGCGTACGAAATGGGTGGCGTGAACAAGCCGTGCTATTTCGCTCCACCTGCCTGAGTAAAATCACCGCTCTTCTACACTGTAGTGAAAATAAGACCACTTCTTCCTCCTCCTCACTGAAACTTGGTGTTAAATATATTCACTATTTCCCTGTTGCCATTTGCATGTTTAACCATATGTGATGCTTTTATCATTATGAAATGGAAGATCGTTTGGCAAAATCTTGGTAGAGGGTACTCTCACCATCTACATAGCATACGGTGAGTGTATGCTCAGGCAAAATATTAGCCAAACACTGCCTGACCCTTATGTCCACTCAGGCATGTTCTCAGAGCTTCAACCAAAGACCTCCTTAAATTTGTGTCATGCCTGGACAGGTATTTTCTGCAAGCAAGCTCAGGCAGCCCTCAGGCATGGAAAATACTCAGGCAGGTTGCTCAGGGTAGCAACCAAACAGGCCCTATTTGTTTTGATGGTTAAGGGATACTTCATACCAGAGTTTGTGGTTTAGGGAAGCAAATAAAATACAACTCATAGATAAGGGATATAAAGTGGACTTTTCGCTATTACGTATTCAAAATCATTTCCTAAATTCCAGAGAAAATGGTGGAGAGAGAAAAGGAGAAGAAGGAGTGGAGTGGATAATACCGTGAGGAAGGAGAAGCAAGTGGATAAGATAGAGAGCTGTGGGGCACGCGAGGTGTAGGGCGTCTGATATTTTCCCTTCTCATCGGACGCCTAGGTCAAATCGTTTTTGCAAAGATTTAGCAAAACCATTTTCACAAATATGTCTGGAACATCATATAAAGAAATACAAAGGAAATTTGCTCTACTAACTATTATTTTCGCGAACACGTAAAAGAATTGCACGTTAATATATTTGAAGAAAAAGAGGTTTTATTACACAACGTAATCAGCCAGACCGAATTATGACAAGGGAAGGGAGAAAAGGCAAAGGCAAAAACTGAAGCTTAGGAACTAGTACGATGGCTAAATGCAACTCCTATGCTCTACTAACTACTAATAACTCGCTGTTGAGGAATCTGTACGCATCTTCACTAGAGGATATTAATCCTGACGCGTACAATTTCAGCAAGTCATTGGGCAACATATATATAATGAAGGCATCAATTCATCTATCTTTTATTTGCAGGATAGAAAACAGATATGGTTTGTTTGTTCATGCCGTCCAGGACATGAATAACGACGACTTTGAACTGATTACAACCAGCAAATTCTAGGTAATTTCTGCCTAACTACCAATGAATTGTTAAACAGAATGTAATATTCTTTATACAGATCTAAGTATACATGTTTCATCTGACATTAAAAAATTCATTCAGTTGAGCAAATGCTAGTGTCTTGTTGCACAAGTACGGACATGAAAAGAATA